GGATCGTCTACAACTTTGAGAACCGACTTGGTTTGCGCAATAAACTCGGTTTTCAAAGCAGCGTAAACCGGACCCATCAGGAACGTAAATTGCGTACCGGAATCCACCATTGTCTGACCGGCTCCGGTATGGTCCGGTACAAAATCGGATTTCGGTAGAGAAAGCAGCTTTGATCCGACCCGGATTCCTTCTAATTGAACCGTGTAAGCAACCCGGTCGAAATACGGTAACGGCGTCGTTTCGAGTACCAAAGGTGTGTATTGAATAGGACCAAGCCACGAGAGACTCGAGTCACCGAGAAGTAATATACCGGAAGAGTCTGAACCGGAGATGCAATAAGAGAATTTAGAGAAACCAAGCTGGTTAACAAACGATAAAGCTCCCCGGTTCATTCCCATTAAACCGGTTGTTTTAGCATCCTCCTCCGAATCTGAACTTAAACCTGAATCCATGCACCCGAATATGGTTCCGGGTCGGGTTGATGACCCGATTACAAACGTCTCGTGAGCTAAGTTGCCTTCTATTGAGGTAGCGTCGGCGTAGGAGACTGCCACGTGGCAAAGATGGGTTTTCGGGTCACATGAAGCCGGTATGGGTAAATCTCGGGTCCGGGTCTTGCAAATATCCGACGAGCAAGGTATGGGCTTATAAGAAGAGGACGAAACCGGGTTAAAAACGGATCCTAAGTTTGGAGATTTCTTGCAGTGAAGCCAAGAAAGCTCACTTCCGGTGTCGAGAACCATGGAGATGCTTTGTGGTGGAGAGCCGACGGAGAGAGAGACGGTGAGAGTGACATTATGTCGGAAAGAAAGCTTGTCTGAAGAAGACTGAGGAAGCTTTTGGGTTTTGAGAGAAAACACGAGTGGTGTTTGGTTCGAAGAAGAGGAGGTGAGAGGGAAAATGAGAAGTAAAACTGAAATTTGACGTAATAAATTTGAAAGAGATGATGATGATGAAGCCATGATATAAGTCTTGAATCTTTGTTACATACTTAGCCATCTTTAAATACAATATTGTGTTTTTTTTTTCCCTCTTTTTTATTATGTCCGGTTAGTTTCGGTTTACTCAAATCATTCCGAGCCAAAAAGACTTTGAATTTTAGGTGGAGAACCTTGAGTTAACTTCTAAGCAATAATTCTAGTAGCTTGTCATATCAATGACCAAAGGCCAAAGCACTTGAAACTATTCAGAAACATGATCTTGTCTTAAGTTAAAAAAAAAAAAATGATCTTGTCTCGACCTAACTAAAATCACTTCATGAAGAGCATTTGATATTAGGGTTTTTGTGTTGTCAAATTTATTTGAATGTTATTAGGGTTTTGGAGAGAGACAAGTCTCGAGACAAAAGACAAGTTAGTGGAGGAGTAGGTCTTTTTGGCCGTGTCTTTGTGATCTCTGTTTAGTCTCTGTAGTTCACATCAACTTTGTTTTATACTTTCTTCGTGTTCCCACTTTCTACGGGATTTTTTATTTATTTTTTACTTTTTCTTTCTGTGTTAATAGTCTGAATTGTATTGTTTTCTTGCATCATGCATACTATAACTAAATCAAAAGAGGGATATCGTGTAAAGTTATATTTATTAAATTCAATAACCTAACTCACAGAAAAGAATACCAAAAAACTACAAATGGTGTTTTTTTTGTTTTTAAATTGATTTTGTCAATCTGTCAAGGCCAATATAGTTTTGCAAAGTTGTTAAAAGTATGATTAGAATAGAGTTTTGGTGGTTTGACGGAAAAAAGCACCTCTCTAATGTAACTCTCAACCGACATAATGGAGTTTACATTTTTGCAAATGTTTTGTCTTATTATGACTTTTCGATTAATAGTATTTGTTACCATACGGGAAACGGTGCCGTCTAGACTGCTACCATTCAATGAGAAGAGTTTACACAGGAATTTTGTGATTGTGTTTTGTTTTGTTCTGTTCCGTCACATGAATTTAAAACACACAAAAAAGAAAAAAATCCAGTTTGTCTTTACGAATATCTCATTTCGTCGTGTCATGTACTTACTGAACTGGTGCATATGCATTGTATAAAATTCTAAATTTTAGTTGTGTTTTCCACAACGCGTTAGCTAGTGGCCTAGCTAGCAGTAGGTCTTTAGAGGAATGTCATAAACTTAGTTTCTTTGAGTGTGACTCCTATATAAAGCAAATTTGTTCTACGTGGATAAGCCGAGGAAGGTTTCATCGGCTTTCTCTGTTGAACTAGTTAATCCCGGAGACTTGTCGGGTCCGTTGGTGTAGCAGGTCAATGCTGCTGGCTGGTTGTGTCGACTTGATTTTTGTGAAGTAAACTGAACTGTGCACCCTTCAGTCAAAAGTTATTAGAATATAAAATATGGATACATATCTACTTATATTTTTATAAAAAAAATTGCATAGTACCTCCAAAAGGTGTAGATGGTAGTAACCTCACAGTAGGGGTGGGCGCGGATCGGATATCCGAGTTTTTTAAGGTATTTGTGATTTGCTTCGAATGTTACGGATATCTAATTTTGGTATTTGCTTTGCTTCGAAAAAATACGGATATCCGGAAAAACGGATATCCGGAAAATAAATAGATATTTGCGGATATTTACGAATATTTACGGATATCTCATCCATTTTAATTAGTACAAATAATCTTAAGATTTTGATACAAATTT